AAAAAAAAAAAAAAAAAGAAAAGTGCAGATACACACCTGTAGCTTTCCTCGTCACCGTGTGGATTTTTCGTCGAGCTGACGATGGTGTATTTGACGGTGCCAACGGTATCCGGGTCGTGGGTTTTGAGGACCGCGACGAGGGTATTGAGTGGCGCTTCCTCCGAGACGTTGAACCTCCAGGGCCCGGGAGCCCACCTCGGCGCTACGTCGTTTTTGTCCTCCACCCTCACGCGCACCTGCAACGAAAAGGAAACGGATCATTTTTGGTTATCACTCTTTAATGACAGTACGAATATAATGACTCGGAAATCATAATATGTTATTTCCAAGTGGAATACCATGAAATATATATAATACAATTGTGGGCCCAGAAGTAACTATTACCACTGCGGTATAACGATTATTCAAAAGACTTGCGTTTATGAAAAAAAAAGGGGGGGGGGGACAACCGTGGCCAATGGACGAAAGCACACGAGCGGCCTTTTAACGATTTCTTTCCCGAAAAGCGGCGAATCCTCCTCCGTGAATACGTAATAAATTCCACGTCACTCGAGAAACCGATATCCGCCTCCACGCGTAACCAAATGGATCCACTTTTTCGGTTGGACACGCTTACATAATTACGTGAAGCATCCCGAAGTGGGTATATAATAATACATATATATGCAGCGGTCCCTATCTATATTTTTCGCGCTCTCTAATAACAATTGGTGTGAATATATACCTACTCGACCACGTTGCACTGCACCCTAAAACAGCTTGTGTGAAATATATAATACACGGAGCTGGCGAGGGGTATACCTGTGGGGGGTAAGTATATGTAAGTGGCGGGATAGGAGGGGAGGAGGGGCACGAGTCGAGCGCTTGTATCACACAGCGGGGTCAAGTGAAGCCGAGGGGTCGTCCTGTGTGTATTTCCTCGCTGTGGTACTCGCGGGAGTAGGAGGAGGTGGAGGGTGGTATGGGAGAGGAGGAGAGTTAAGGAGATCGGAAAAAAAAGAGAGAGAGAGAGAGTCTCTCGATTGTTTAATGCGATTCTCATGCTCCACGCTACGCTGCACTGGCTCAGCGCTTTTGATGTACGATATTCGTCTCTCTCGCTCCCTCTCTTCCTTATCATTTCGAACTGAACTCTCTCTCTCTCTCTTTGGCTTGTTGATCCTTTCCCTCCCCTCCCCCCCACCCGATCTCCCTCTCCGCCTCGTTTACTTTTCCGTGCTAGCACTCCATGTGTTTTATATACGTAGCGCAGCTCGCGATGCCGCCTCGCCGATTCATCGCGCTCCTGCTGCTGGTAGCCTGATGGCTGCCTGTCCCTCTGCTCCTGCTGTGGGAATATAAAGACCGAGCCTACTAGTGCTTAACAGTTACACTCGCAGGGTTGTACAAGTAGACCTATACGTTACCCATCCTACATAATTGGCCGGGCTTATAATATATGTACATGGATGCGTGCAATGCTGGTGCGCTTAACCCGTGACATTGCCGCGTTATACACGTACAACCTAGATATAATTGACGACGCACATACACACCTATAGATGCGAATAAGGGCGGGGGGGGGGAAACTTGGCGCCTCCGTGGGCTAATGTCTCTGTATCGTATGTACAATACGGGCGCTCCTCCTATATACTCCGCCTACGCGCCCATTCCAGTAGTACTATAGTTGTAACAGCAGCTAACTTTTTTTTTTTTTCCTCTTCTTCTTCTCCTCTCTTTTATTATACAGGTGTGTGGTCTTTTTATTTTGTTCGAAGGTATATGGGTCGAAGGAGGTGCGCGAATATCGTACACGTATATACGCCACATTATAAATATACTGTATACACAATATTTGCCGCGGTTATAGTTTTCACACTCGGTCCCATGGGCAAGTCCGGCCGATCAGGAGCTGTTTGCGGGTGGGCGCTCTCTAACAATATATATGTTTTCATACATATTATATACACACGCGTCTGCAGTTATACCACCGAAATTTACGACATGCGGGGGTAGGTAGAGGAGAACTCACGTTTCGTTGCCTATTTTATACTTATTGTGGAATATTATACGTGGGAAGAGGGTTAATGTACAAATATCCATAAGACACGTAGAGAAACGCGTGTACAATCATGTATGTATGTAGACACGTAAGTAGTGTCCTTTGTTATTATTATCGTCGCATAGGTACGTGTACGAGTTCAAACTTGACAGTCGGGCCAAAGGACGATTATCGCGTGACGTTTATTTATTTATTTATTTTTTTTGTACTTATTATTTTAATTTTGCATGTGTGTAGGTATACATGTAAACATATATGTGAAAGGGAGAGAGAGAGAGAAAAATAATAAGATGGTAATTGCAATGATGGTGTAGGTATGTACTTACGATGACGGTAAGAGTGACGTCGGTGTGCTGGGCCCCGTCGTCGGCCCTCACCCTCAGCGCGTAGCTCTCCCTGGTCTCGCGGTCGAGAGCCTCGCCGAGTCGCAGCTGACCCGTTCCCGAGTCCAACTTGAACGGGCTTGACAGTCTGCAAATCACACGATTTCGCGTCTCGTTAATGTTGACGTTTCTCTTCCTCTCTCTAATTTATTTATTTTTTTTAACAAGTCTCGTTTGCTCGTCAAGAGCATGGGTGCATTAACTTTTTTTNTTCATTTTTTACGAAGATTCGTCGAATAAATTCTTCAAAAACCACCTCGTAAATGGTCCGCACGTACATGTATATATGTGTATGTATTTGGCACCAATTGAACTAATATTTATCATTTTTGTCGGGGCACCGAGGAAACGTTGAATCGCGCTCATCAACTTGGCCAATTTATTGAGGTAACGCTTGACCGCGAAACATTATTTATATCACACGCAACCAAAAACCGTTGGCTCGTTAACATTTGGTACAGTTTTAAACGCATCTTCTGGATTAAACACGAATCAACACCGCAATCAGCGATATTTTATCTCCTAATCAAATCCAAGGAAAGCTCCTTTTCTCCCAGAGTCGGGGAGCAATGACAAGTTACCTGCTCCCTACGGACGTATGACACGTTGCAAAACAAATTTTCAACCCGCGAACCCGAGGCCGAAAAGCCCACTCTTTTCGCGTACACCCATATATTATTATGATTATTCATACCAATCCATTATTTTCATACATATGTATACGTGCTTACCGATACATTTTTGCTCTCCTCACGCTGTATGTGTATATATACGTGCACATGCGCCGATCTCCCGCGGTGAGCCTTACTCCGCAAAGCCAGACGAAGCAGCAGCTACATTTCTTGGCCCCTCTGACTTTGTGAATTCGCGTGCGCGGGTAAAGGAAAAAAAAAAAAAAAACCTCCAAGAGAACGGATCTGCACGAGGGTCCGGAATTCGGAAAGCAAAAGATTAGCGTTGCTCCATCGGTCGGTCGGGCGATCATTTGCCCCCTCGTACATATACACTTTGACTCGGCTCTTTTTCTCCCTTATATACACTCCGTTCGTTCGGTATGGATGTTGGCGCGCAGGGCTCTCGGTGGTACATGAGCGTTTCGAGCAGAGGCGCCCCGTGTGTGCGTTTGTTGCGCGGAATTTTCGTCGGCGCCGTCTCGTTTAACCCTTCTTTTATTCATCAAAATTATTGCTTCATCCATCAAACACGAGATTCCTAACTATTAGATAATACATGTGCTTGAAATGCCTCATTCGTCATTTTTATAACTATTTTACAAGGTATCCGCGTTGCGTCCGACCACACTTGTCTGAATCTACTTTCCCAAGTAGATACAGACGTGCCGGCCCATACATATGGTGTTTTTTTTTAGTACAGTTAAAAATAACACATCAATGGTGTATATACGAAACAACATTGTTATTCTCACGTGTGATTGGCACAATGTAACATTGTTATCGGGAATAAAACCAACCCCATCTACGCATTAAATCGAAAAAAACATAGCGCGAATCGATGGATATGATAAAAAGTAAATAAAAGCACACAAACCTGTTCGTAGTCGAGGTTGGCCGTGAGGGTGAAGACCCCGGTGCTCGGGTTGAGCGAGAATACGTCGTTGGCCCAGTCGGAGATGAGCGCGTAGCTGATCTGGCTGTTCGGCCCGGGCCCGTCGGCGTCGCTCGCCGCGACTTGGCCGACTCGGCTGCCGCGCGGCATGTTCTCCAGGACGTCGAACGAGTAGGCCGTCGCTTGGAAAACTGGCGCGTTGTCGTTCGTGTCCGTCACCTGAGGCAGAAGAAACAATCCATATTTTTTTTTTCAAGATAATTCCTTTTTTTTTTTCTCTCTGTCTTTCATTAAGATTGAAAAAAAAGGAGATTACACGATTGCAACGTCTATGTGCCTCGAAAGGGGATGGGGGTCGCCAATTTGCGCCAAAGAAACAGGTACGTGGTCGTAAAACGCGAAAACGTTTGGCAAAATAAGAAGATAAAAAGATACTCTCCGGTTCCTCGATCACGTTGTGCCCACACACGCGCGTCCCATTCACCCGTTGCACGTCGAAGGATGTCTCGTCTCGTCTTCAAATCCAGCTGCGAATTAAAGCGCCGCAGGAGGGCGTACATCGTATACAGATAACAAGGAAGGAAGCGCCCGAGCTTGGGTGTCCGCAAAAACTGCAACGGCAGCGAAGCTCGATCGAAGTTTGTCAATGCCTCAACTTCTCCCTCGTCTCCCTGTTCTTCGACTTCCCGTCGCGATTACTGAAGTATCTCTTTTTTTCTTTTCTTTTTTTTTCCCAATACCCCCAAAGTTCTCAAAAACCACACGATCCAGCCAAGGGTTATCCAACATCTGCAATTGCTCCTCTTTTTTTGTTTATCATGTATAGACACGCAACACACACAAAGGTGCACGCAGGAATGCTTTTTTGCCCGCGTCGCTTCAGCCGAAAAGTTATCCGGGACACACACATATATATATATATATACGCCCGTGGGATAAAATAAAGAAACTACATAAGCCCCGAGAAAGTCCAAAGTGGGGGGGCGTTGATTGCACGCGTGGCATGTGTATCCTGCTCCTGTTACCGATACTTACGCTCTCCCTTTTTATATGTACTCTCGAGTATATTTCTTCCGCACACACATACATACACATACTCTCGTGTTCCAGGTGTTTTCGATGGATGTTAACGCGTCCGACGAGCAAGTAAATCCGCGCTGAAAAGTATTTATGAGCTTCATTAAGGTCCTACACGATAGAGGGGAAAAAGACATCTTCGTGTGTGAATCCTTTCGTATACTCTGCTATTTGTTTTTGACAGAGAGAGAGAGAGAGAGAAAATACAAAGGGAGAGCGGGCGCGTAATATACGTATACATAATCCTGTGTTGGCGAATGTTTCACCATCCTCCTCCTCTTTTTTTTTCCCGTTCTTATACGGGGCGAGCGCGTACTGCACGCGGCGATTTATCAAAATTTTTTTCCCTCCAAGAATCTCCCCGAGAGACGCTATATATACGTGTTATATAGGTACACACATATATGCACACTCGAGCCCTGACATCGTACCTATTTATACACACATGCACTCGGTGAGTTTAATTGCCGCCGAGGAATTTTCATTAGCCCAGCGTATACTTTGGCCGAGCGGAGAGGAGGGGGTTGTTATATAAAATTGCGAGTACACTGCAATTGATATAGGTATATGTATGGAGTAAACATCCCAGGTATCGTGTTTTCGCATCGGTTGGACTTTGTGCGTTTTGTATCTCTTCGAGAGGGTTGATAATCCAATCGCGCGATACACCTATATGCAGGGTAGAGGTGCAACAACTTTGACTCGAATCAACAACTCGATAAAGCGCGTTTTGCATACGCGGTTGCTATCCAAACGGAACGCCAGTATATAGATAAAAAAAAAAAAAAAAAAAAAAAAAAACTTACACGAGCGGTAACAGCTGAGCGCTCAGGTGGCCGAAAAAGAGAGGAGAGTATACCATGTATACACACAGGTTGTGTAGCGGAGAAGGAGAGCTAAGAAGCATCATCCGATAAAGAGGAGGTGGAGGCGGAGGCGTGCGATTAACGCCCTTAACGAGGGCACCACCTTTTTCTCACGAGTGCGAATCCGTATTACACACACACACCCATACGCGCGCTCTCTCTCTCTCTTGGGGGAAGAGGCGCACAAGCGCGTGCTTCTGTATAACGTACAGGTATATGTATATACGTTTTTTTACGCGCGTGCATTGTGTGCGAGTGCACAGACACACGAGCCCGTGGTCGTAGGGGAGACGAAGGATGTAGGCAAAAAGTGTCCGTGGAGGACTTTGAGGGACAGCCGGAGAGAGAGGAGGAAAAGGGTTGACGGCTGTCGCGCGGGGGCAGAGGGAAAAAGGGATTCCATCCGATGTGTCGGCGGATAGGATATACACTCCGAGGACGAGCCTCGGGAGAGCGTACGCGTTGTGTATGGGTACCTGTATAGGGCTTGGAACTATGATCTGGTCGGACAGCGTCTCCCGAGCGTGAGCTGCACTGGAATTTCGGGCGCTAAACGTCGGAGCTGGGACATTGTTTGCGACGGGGGAAAGAAGATTAAAGGCAAATGGGTCGCTTTGGACATTGGGCTGTGCCCCAAAGAGATCAGAGGGATTATATATAGGGGGGTGCTGATATTTTTGAGCCCTCAAATGAGCACGGAGTGGTTCGTTTGTAAAAAAAAAAAAAAAAAAAAAAAAAGGCGATATCTTGAGTACTGACACTCCTAACATAGAAAAAGAAGAAAAAAAATGTTTACCTCTGATCTAAGTACGCCTCGTTTCAAAGTGAATATTATAATATGATTTTATAAACAAAACAAAAATAGAGATAGTCGAAATACCTTTAGCCGTGTAAGAGGGTATGTACACACCACACATCAATCATCGCAATAATCCTTGAAAGCAACATCCGTTTAACTTTTAGAAATCTATAAAAAGCCTAGGGGAGGGGGAGGCTTGTTGCCCCTGCGGATTTTTAATTGCCCCTCGCGAGACACACATACCTCCAACAGGGTACCTACATATATATATATGTACACGTGCCTGTGCGAGTACAAAACAATCTTTGCGTCTGATCGACGACTCCCGAGCGAAAAGAGTGTATATATATACACAGCGGCTGGAAAGATAAAAAGAAAAGAAAAAAAAAAGCATTTCGCAATCAAATAATTACCCATAGCAGCAGTGGTAATAGTCTCGGGTGTGCGCCGGCAAAAACTCCGGCTCTCGCCAAATCCCAAAGAGAAAAGCTCGCGTGGATCCTTTTTGCGCGGTACTATCTATACGGGGAGAAAAACGCGCGCAGAGGTGTACACGTATATATATATATGTATATGAGCAAACAGGAGCGCGAACCAAAGGAGGAGATGGAGAGAAGTGGTTGGTTTGGAAAGCGCCGCCTGAGTTCCCAGCACATCGCAAAGCTAATCTCCAAAGGCGAATCGCGCGTCTCCCGAGCTTCGGTGTATATACGCTATACCGATGCTGAGCGTATACCCGGGAGCACCTTTTAAAATACTTTTTATAGACCCTGTATAAGC